ATTTTTAAAGGCCGAAAGGAAAGGAAAGTAAAAGCCAATGCGCCTGAATGTTCTCCGTTCTCCGTTCTCGGTACTTCGTTCTTGACGGCTTCGTCTTCTCTTCTCCCCATCTTCACTCCACTCGAAAGGATGAAAATTAAAACAGTCTTAAAAAACATGACAGGCAGAGGCAGCCAGTCGGCCGCACAACCCTGAAATTAGTTGACAAGGATGAAAGGAGCAGAAAAGTGGACTGGGTGCAGGCAGATCCCAAATGAAACCGACTCCGTGCTGAGCCGTGTTGTTGATGGAAGATTTACATAATGCAGATGATGGTGGCAGCGTCGTGTGGGAATTTCATTAATGAAAGAATTATGAGAGGTTACATAATGAGCAGTCCCAGTTCGGCTAGCTGATGGCATCGATAAAGTCCGGTTTCCATGCGTGTGCGTTTCTTCGTTTCTTTTTTTTTTCGGGGCGGCCACCAATAACGAACCAATGTCCTAGCCCTCTCCACATCCATTAACCCCCAGCTCATTGTTTGAGTCGACACAACAAATTAACAAAGTTTTCCAGAGAAATGCGTAATTGAGGGTCAGTTAGGATACCTTTTTCCCTTGAACTAATTTGACAACTCTTAGGGCGAAATTAACGCTCACACTTGGATCAGGTTTACGGGTTATTCGATATTTTACATGACAAAATGGAACAAGAAAAATAGAAGATAAAGGTAGCACATGCTGGTTTGCTTTTAGCCAATTTGCGGATACGAAATGGAAACTGTTGCCAATTTCAAATCGTAATACGCACCTGTCACATAAATCACCGTCCAAATGTGATTTATTAGCTATTCATATTAGTTACTTTGGCTCCTGAGGGGCCCCCCGAACAACAGACACACACGCCAATATATAATAAGCAATATATGTTGTGTATAAAACATATGTATCTATGGGGTGTATTGTGTTCGCTGTCTGTCTTGCCAGCTGCAAGACTCCTTGCCTCAGTTTTTGTTCGGTTTTGTTTGCGCTGGTCTGTAAAATATTGAAATTGAGTGCAAACTACTCTGAACTCTTGCCGGAGCGCTAGGTTGCGAGCCACCTAGTAGATACATTATTAAAATGATATAAAGTAGCTGAGACATGAGTGCCAAGTATCTGCAAGTTGCATGCGAATTGGCAATGAACTCGGGCCAAGTGGCTGCCGTGCAATGGCCCTAAGTTATGGGCGAAAGTATCTCGCCGTGCGGCTATTTTCGGGTGTAACTAACGGATGCGCCGCTTAACTGTGCTAAGCATGTGAAAATGTATCTGCGGATGAGAGCGAAAAATGTATGAAGAAGTATTTCCGTAATCTGCCCTGTGTATCTTTGTATCAACTAATGTGGAAAGTATTTAAGGCTGCGTGAGAAAGTTGTGAAATATTGAAGTGATTTAATAAAATTTATTTCTTATTTTTGGTAAATTTATTAGCTACAATAAGAGTTGGAATCATCTTGCGAAATTGTTGATATATTTGAGTGAGTAACATAAAAATATTTTATTTTATTATAACAATACTCATTCTATACAAAATATTTCAATGATAACATGTATTCCTTATTCTAGATTCCGTTTTTCAGTGTTCAAATGTTTTCAAAAATTTGTAAAATTGTATGAATTTGCTGTTTTAACGGTGTAAACTTTTGATCGAAATAAATATTCCTTTTATTTTAGGTATCTAGAGACATAGGATAGCGTAATAAAGTTCAGCATTAAAAGCTGGAATTTCATCTTAGATGCCCACACATTATATATAAAGTTTACGATATCTGCAGAAATCTTTTAGCCATAAAATATGCACCCAAATGACTGCGGAATAAGGCTCTAAAGTAAATACAGGTGGAGCCATAAAAAACCAACTATCCAAATAGATATAAATATCATACAAATAAAAAGCATGCTCTGCCATCCAGATAGAGCTTCTTGTGAAGCAACAAATTTTAATTACGATTCCCGTGCATTCCACTCAATCATGGTCCCACACACCCCTGCTCATCGCATCCCTTTACAACGCCCAACCATAAAAACCAGTCTCAAATGCGTTCTTTTTGGCTAGATTATGCTAAAGATACAAAAAGCACACACTCATAGGTATAAAGCCGGAGAGGATAGCAGCACAACGCATGGACAACGCTGTAAACTTTTATTGGCGAGCTTTAAAGCAAATTTGTCTTGGCCATTTCAGTTTCAGTTGCTGCCCCATCCCGCTGCAGTATCAGTATGGCTAGAAAAGATTTATGACACTGCCGCGCGTACACGGCGCATTCAAAATTGTTGAAAACAATTAGAATATTTTAGCAACGACCAGGGAAAGACTATAAAAGTTATATGAAGAACGCGACGAGTTTCGAGTTAACAGCAAAAAAGAGGGGAAACTGCGACGAACTGAGGGCTGTAAAAATTATGCGCCAAAATGACTTTGACAGCAGTCGCGACTGGCGTATAGCGACGACCATCCAACCATCTTCCCGGTTGGCCTCCTTTTTATGGTCATAACTAAGTAGCAGTCATTGTTTCATATGACTTATAATTTGGCACACATTTACGATCTTTTCGGCCATAGAGACGAGGAGAAAGAGTGAGGGAAAGACCAACTCCCGGGGCAACGGCAACAGGCCGTCATCAAAGCCGCTGCATGATATAACATAAACGACGCGAACGTGGGTTGTCAACAAAGTAGGGTAAGTCTGACGGCAAGGTAGCATATAAAAAAAAACATTAGAGATATTTTTTAAAGCGCCACTCACCGCCGGGACCTAAAAAAAGCTTATATTACATTCACGTGAAAAGACAAATATTATTCTTAATTTTTCGGGGTATAAAAAAAAGTGAAAGAAGTTGAATGCTGTTTGCTTGTTTTAAAAAATTGCTAAAGTTCATCAATGATTAATGTAAACACACATTATTTTGTACAGAATTTATATGCAGTTTTTAAAAACTGAATGACTACAATTGGTGATTTTATAAAAGTTATTCTAGGAAATAAAAAAAAAACAAATTTCATTCTAAGTCCAACTAAATTTTTCAAACCTATTAATGCTAGCTACATATCAAACCCACCTCGCTTGCTTCGGTGAATATTCACAGCTGTCATTAGACTCTCTCTGCTAAATCCTCCGCAGCCAAACCCACTCCTATTTTACGGTTTTCCCCATATCTATCTGCGTGTCGATTTAGCTAGCGCTATACGACATGAACTTCAAAATGAGCCGCAGGCTTCAATCACATCCAAGCAAAAGCAAACGAGGCAGCCAGCCAACCAACCATCCAACCAACCAACCATCCCATCAATCGCAACGCCGAGTTTTTCCTTCGACTCGGAATAATTTTATTTTGTGCGCCTGCCTGGCCTGTGCTTTCCTTCATTTGCTGCACATTTTCCATTTCATAAAGCAGCCAGCTCGGCCTGTTTATGATTTAAGTTTGCCGAGAGAGGCTGCTTATTAGAGGCCGACTTCCTTCGGTAGAAAAAAAAAAAATACAAAAAGGGGGATTGGGGGATGGGCGGCAATGTCGGCGACGCATTAATGATTGTTAGTGAGTTGTGAAATTGCTCTAACTGCACTTCAAGCAGCAAAGCGGCTTCCACACCATTTGGCCTGACCAGCAGCATTGAGTAGCCAGTATCCAGTATCCAGCATCCGTATCTGACTCTTTCCGGCAGGTTCTCGGTCTCAGAAGCCGAGCGACCAACTCACCAGTCAACCACCAACCAACCAACTCGTTCGCATATTAAAGAGTAAATTTTTCAATTTCACAGACATTAAACGCGACTGCTGCTGTCTCCGCTTAACTCAAGCTAAACGCTTCGCCTTAGGCCAAATCCAGACTCTTGCCTGCCTCCTTGCCTTTTGCCTGCCTCGATTTGACCCAAGTCTACATTCAGTTTGGCCATTAAATAGTTTGTTAAAATTTGCCTTATTAGATTATTAAATTTTCGCAATTTAAGCAAAATTCGTTTTGGCATTTTCGAGCACCGAAATGTACACTGCAACAGATACTGTAAGCATTTTGATTTATGGCCAGTTATCAAATTTTGAAATGATAAATGTACTCAAGTTTTTTGGCACGTAAATTTTGCAAAAGTTTAGGCTTCAGAAGCTCATTAAATTGTAGAGAAGTTGTGTATTAAAAGTTGAGGCAAGTTGGTCAAAGAAAGCATGAAAAAAACAGTGAGAAAATGGCCCTAAGCGAAATGTATTAAATTTTAAATTGGTTTTTTTAATTTGCAAACGATTTCTTGTTAAGAGAAGGGGTTCCTCAACTTTTGAAAGCTTTACTTTAAACCTGTCGAGCTTCAAAAGTAATTTTTTTTTAATATTGTAACTGAAAACGAATACGAAATCGTTGAACATTTCTCCAACTGGCCTGTAAATCATTTCTAATCCATCGCTTCTCGGCTTTGTTTGGGTCCAAACTTCCATCCTTTCGGGCCCTGTAGCTACGTACCGTACACAGATACACATACGCACACTTACACATGTGGGCCAAAATGTATCTGCAGCTTGCATAACTCTTCTTTCGCTACGTGTAGGAAAGGGTCAGCAGGAAGTGCGGCCCGGGGGGTGGGGCTGTACAGCCCAATTCGCATTACCCCCCAGAGTGCATGCCAGGCATGTCCTCATCCTCATTCTCATCCTCATCCCCTGCACCCCGAAACCCACTTATCCCACCGCTTCCTACCCAGTGTTCCCTATCGCCATCGATGTGTGTAAGTTGGTTTATCGACATGTGCGCACTGGTGAATGACTAAGGCAGATACGGTCGAAATTCTTAGGGAGCAACTTCCTCAGGTCTCAATTTAATTTTCGTTATAGGTATCATGCATTAAAGCTAAAAAATACCCAATCAATGAGTTTACCAAGATTTTCCATATACAAATTATTTCACAGTTTTAAAGCTAAGCAATGGCAGTCTGGTTTTATATTTTATAAGTTTGTTTACGTCTGACTAAAGATTTTTAAATTCGAAAATACTTACTTCAGACATTCGGTCCTAAGGCAGCCCTATTTCCATGTACAAAACTGTAAGAAGAAAAGGTTTAATTAGTTTTTTTAAGCACCAAGTTGTCATTAAATTAAAAATAAAATTCAAGTTTAAAACAATAAGTAAACATATAAACATATTTAAAGGTAAATATTAAAAAAAAAATACTTTAAAATATTTATTTAATTCTCCATAATCCAATGGATTCACTGCTCAAATAGTCGTTGTAGGCACCCAAAGCTGTACACCATATATAAGGCAACTGGAAAGGTGTGAGGAGGAGGTAAGTGGGTGGTTTTTGGGGGTTTAAATTCAGTGCCCTGTACGGGGCTCTTGTTGCTACTGGCCATATGCCAATTTTCGGTAAACTAACTTGCCTAAACTCGACAAGCAAATTGCCTTCATTAAGATACATGCTTGCTACCTACAATTTAAACACACACACACTCACACACACATATGCATATATGTATGGGTATGAGTGTGCGCGTGTATCTATAGGCATGTGGTAAAACCTACCATCTTCATCCAATGTGCATTTTACTAGCGACCTGCACTTCTTCTACTTCGGTTTTCCTTATTTTTTCCAGGTTTTTTTTTTTCAATTTTATTTTAAGAGCTCCTCTAACAAGCGAAGCGATGACGACGACGTTGACTACGTCAATTGGGTCAGAGCGGCAACAGCAACAGCAACAACAACAATCTGGGCAACAACAACCACAGCAATTTCAATAGATATAAACGAACATGGGGGCTCGATCCACTGGGAAAGCGGGCGCAACAGAAGCCACTTCAAGACGCCCACACATTGAACCAAACCACATATATCCAATACGACGAATACCCAAAACCCAAGCCCAGAAATACAAAAATACAAAAAGCCCAGCCCATAATGAAGGAGCAAAAGTGTTAGAAATGTATTTTGCTTTGGTTTTTCTGTTATTTTCCTCTCATTTCGTGTTGCTTTGCATACACATTAAAGTTAATTTCGAATCGCTTTTAAATTAGCTTAATTCGCATTAAGTGAGCTGAAATAAAACTCACGCCTACAAAAAAAATCAAAGGAAGAGGCCTCAGCGAACAAGAAAACGTGAGTGGAAGTGGGATTTGGAAATGGGGTTTGTTTTTGGGAATACCCATTAATTAATACTACAATAATTACATACTTAATTTTTCTTTATGTTAAGATATGCTTGCAACTGAATAATTAATGACGCTGAAGTCTTTAAAAAAATGGAAATTATATAAATTCATACAGCCATTTAATTAGTTTATAACAATTAATGACATTTTGTAGCTGATAAGGAAATTATATAAATGCATACAAACTTTTAATTAATTTATAACAATTAATGACAGTTTGTAGCTGATAAGTTGTTGTAAATTCAATTTAAGCTTTTTTTAATAAATGTATGTATGAACAAATGTATTTTAATAGATTGACAATTTCTACTAGAATCCAAAAATTGTCAAGTTATTCATTGATGTATTATTTGTGCATTTTTCTTTAAATTTTTCTTTTTTTAAATTAATTAAAATATTTGCTTTGAGTAAAATATCCTAATCCCAAAACTCCTCAAATACCCACTATATAGCACTCTCGAATACGAAGCTCAAACGGCAGCAAAACATTTAAATGTTTTACAAAAGCAATAACAAACGAACTGAAGCTGCGGAGGCCTCCGAAAAAAAAATGCTGAGACCGAAACTGAACCTGAAGCCACGGCTACACACTCGTAAGATACACAAGCAAAGCTGCCGATACAGATACATTTTGGTGGAGAGCAGCGACGGCGTTCGACGGAAAGAAAACAAAAACCGCCCGCAGCCAAAAAGTCAAGCCGAAGAATCATCAACTTCAACACCATCAGCAAGCAAGTGGCAAACTTTAAGATACATTTCGGCTGCTGTCGATGGGCGACGGCCACAACATTTTTTAAACGCTAGAACGCCTCTTCCCAACACTTTTGCAACGAATCCGAAAGCCCAAAAATAAAGTATTTCTCTCTTTTTGCAGTTGCTGCGGTTTTTTGGTTTTATTGCTGGTTCTGTTTGTATCTTTTTTTTTACCGTCCGGCCTGCAGATTCTTTTAAACAATTATTTCGGCTTGCAGTTTTGCGGCCTTTTTGGGTTAAAGCCGCCAGAGCAATGAAACAAATGAAACGAAATGATGTTGAAAAATTTAAATACATTGCAGGGAAGAAATTCCAATTATCAATTAAGTCAACTCCGGACTGCTGAATGTAATAAAAAAAAACTGCGCCAGACTGTAGGAACTGGATTCTGGGATTCTCGGATTCTGGACTCCAAGGTCTGGATTCGGTTTCCTGTTTGTCTCTCTGCGAGAGAAATATTATTCAGAGAAAACGACGAGAGAAGGTTGAACAAAAAGATAAAAACATTAATTATTATTAATTGCTTTTTCTTTCTCTCTCTGCGCATTCTGTATTCTTAATAATATTTTTTCGCTGTTTTTATTGTATTTAATGCCGTTTTGGCCTTTGTTTCATCTTGTTTTATGTGCGCGCATTTTCTCTCATTTGGACCGGACCCTTTTTTTTCTCCAAGATCCTTTTGGCCACAATGTCGCCATGTCCCTTTTATTATTCCTCGCTTCTTCCTTCCTTTTGTGTGCGATTTAAAACCTTAAAGGCAATCCCTGGGTCGAGATTAAACCTGTTCTTAAGTTAAGTTTTTCGGCTAGGAATAAAAACAGAAACATTTCTGTTGTGTGTCTGAAGCTAATCGGAATGACAAGTTTCTAATTTGGAAGGTTTACAAATTCTTGTTTTCTTTTCACTGTTTGGGTTCTTATTTTTTTGCGTGGGCAGCGACTTGCTTGACAAATTGCTGGATTTTGTTTTGGGCTGAGGGCTGCAGGGCAGTCGCATTAAATATGCAAATTTATGGAAGATTAAAGTAAGCAAATTGAAATAATGTGATGTCTGCCATTAAACATATTTATTGGTCATATATAAATTTAACTTGTTATCGTATTTTATAATTTTAAGAAACTTTTTTTTTTAAACAATTTATTTAAAGTTTTTCCTCCTAACTCTGCATAAGGATATCTTGATTTATGTCAACAGAACCCGCCGCCTTGTTGATAAACTCTTTCACATCTCTTTGGGCCCGGTTATGCAGTCTTGCCACAAAAGTTTTCCAGTTAGCAAGCGTTGAACCAAATGGGTGGCCAACCGAAAATTTCCAAGTTTATCGATCAGCTCGGAAAACTAAATAAAATAAACTGCAACAATTTGCAAAAAGCCAAAAGTGGCAGCTCGTTGGCTGCCAGGACATCGCTGCTGGTCTTGGCCATATTCCCAGCATGCCTGTCGACACTTTCGCTTTAATTAAAAACTTGCAAAAAAAAATTCCTCGCACACACACACTGTCCATAAAATATGCCAAGCAGAAACTGAAGATGTTCCACCAAGAAAAAGGAGCGTGAGCTGAAAAATTCCCATAAAATGCAGCTGAAGCAAATCTAGTTAAACCCACAAGCAGAAATGGCAAATGCAAAAAAGCCCTCTGCTAGTCGAAAAAAACATATACCCCAAAAAATAGTTCCAATATTGAATTGTCAAAAAATAAAAAGAAATTAAAAAGTATATATATTAGGTTAAGTGATAGCTAAATTAATTACATTATGCTAACCAATAGAAATGTTCACTTTATCAAAAGTAAGCATCTGTGTTTGTTTTTATAAGTTCTTTGTTTGAGTGCATTTTAAGTCGAAAAAATATAATAAATGTATCCAAATACCATTAACAATATCGTTACAAGTTATAGCCTCGCTCAACACTTTGATCATATCTATGGGCAAAAAGGATATCACAATAAAACGAAATTTCACCGCATGCATTTCCCCAGTAAACTGTATTATTATTCGTATATTTATTTTTCTTTGGACTAAACCAGAGGCAGAACCAGAAAACCAGAACGAGAACTCGAAGCCACAAACGACAGTGCATAAAATATATTTTTGCTTTTTACTGAAAATTTCCATACATGTTTCATGTATATTCCACAGATGCCCCCTCAACCCCATAGTTATATCAAGAGTGTATAAATTTGCGTATGCATTTTTTTGGATGATGTGGGTGGGTAAGTTTTTGGGGTTGTATGGGGATAGAAAGCGATTGTCTGCTTGTTTATGCTAAAGCGAAGAGAACCAGGCAACTCGGTGAGGATCTGAAAACTGCAAACAAAGCCTTTTTGTCTGGGCCATATGCTGAATTTCCTTTGCATTTTTATTCTCTTTTTTCTTTTTTGGATCTAAAAAATGTTTAGACAAATTAAAAATAGTAAGAGTAACGTTCTATGGACGGAGGAGAGTTTATTTTCTGCGTTAGTAACGCGCATTTGGGTCAAGGTGTTTGTTTTCTGTTTTTATTATTCTTATTGTTGCTGTTGACTTGTTTTTGCTTTATTATGAAAATTGCAGCAACGACAACAATGTATTGTTTTCGTTGTTTTTATTGTTGTTTTTGTTGTCGCTGTCATTATAAAAGCGAATGCAGGACAACGGCAAAAAGGAATATTCACCCACGCCCGCCCACATGGGCATAAAATATGTGCTTGATTAAAGTGTTCGTGGCATGTTAGCCATACCAAAAACGTTAAAAAAAAAACAAGGCAAATAAATTGCCAACTATAAAAAATTTTCACGTGAAGCTTCAATTTTTATTGACACATTGAAAACAAAACCGTTCAATTCAAGTTGTCTAGGAATATCTTTGTTAACTTTTAGGTAAATATAAAAATGAAGTATTATTTATTTATTTTATAAAAAAAAAATGACTATTAAGAATGTACATTTAAGTAAAATATTTTGCACGTGCTTCAGACCCATTATAGAACTTTTAAGGACATACTTATTTTTTCTGTGCACCTTGCGGAGGCGTTAGAACGTGTAAAAGATGTGGGGGCGCCGGTGTTCCTGGCGAATCAGGAGTCATGGAATAATCAATAAAAATAAAATATATCACACGACGTTCCCATTCCCGCTAGCCGGTAACCGTTACCGTTACCGCT